AAGGGGTACTCCAATTGCCTCAGCCTGTGTCCCAGTTCAGCATGGAAAAAGCCAGAGCGGTCTGCATCCTGATTCCCTATCAGTAATTTGGGTAACCCCTTAAGAGGATGGCATGATAAGAAGAGGAGGTAGGAATTGGCTAGGCAGTTAGGGTAAAAAGACCCCGAAGAAATGTAGCCAGTTTCTTGGCTAAAAGTCAAAATATCCTTGGGCCTGTTAGCAACATACTCTGTTCCAAAGGCCAAAAACGTCAAAAGTATTTGGGAGCTTGTACCTAATACTTATAAGATTTTAGGGTTACCTCTTCAGAGGGGGGAATGTTGGAGGGGAAGGGGAGTGGGCATGGATTTGATCAAAACACCTTCTATGCATGTATGAAATTCTCAATAAAGTTTTTGTAAATTTTTTTTTTAAGCAATATATAAAGAACTCAAAAAGCAAAGAATCAAGAAAGCAAGCAGCCCAATTAAATGATAGGCTAAGGATCTGAAAAGAGTTCTCAAAAGAAGAAATAAAGATGGCTAAGAAACTTCTTAAACAGTGCTCAACATCCGTAGTAATTAGGGAAATACAAATTAAAACCACTTTAGATTTCATCTTACCCCAGTCAGACTGGCTAAGATCAAGACAACAAAAAAATGGCTCATCCACTGCTGGTGGGACTGCAAACTTGTGCAATCCCTATGGAAAGCAGTGTGGAGAACTCTTAAAAAACTAAAAAACGAACTTACCATTTGACCCAGTCATACCACTCCTTGGCATATACCCAAAAGACTCATCCTACTGCAGAGACATTTATACATCCATGTTTCTTGCTGCTCTTTTCACGATAGCTACAAGCTGGGACCCTGCTCATATGATTCTAAAGCAATGGTGTCAGCATACACAAGTCTTATGCAAAACCTCAGGCAGACAAAAACCCAGCATAAAACTGGGAAAATGAACAGCAGACCCCAATCTTATCTGAAGAAATAATGGCAACTGATTGCTGCTAGGTGAAGAAGAGCTGATCTTCCTAAAACAAGGGATTCTAGATAGGCTGAATAGACCGTAGTGGAAGGACTTGTACTGGGGAACGTCTTGGGGACAGTGACTTGATACAGTGGGCCTTAACAGGGATGACAGAGTATATGGGCTGGAAGGGGGGAGGGTATGGGAGGGTACCAGTGGAGATGGAGGGGTATAAAGATGATTAAGATTGATTGAGATGTTCTGTATGAAAAAAACAAAAAAATCAATTAAAAACTTAAAAATAAAAAAGATAAAATGCTGAATACAAGCCAGGCATGGTGGTACACACCTTTAATTCTAGCACTTAGGAGGCAAAGGCAGGCAGATCTTTGTGAGATCGAGGCCAGCCTGGTCTACATAGTTGAGTTCTAGACCAGTAGGGGCTGCAGGGAGACCCTGTCTCTAAAAGGCATATAAACATAAATACATACACACACACACACACACACACACACACACACACACACACACACACTGAATACAAAACAGTATGACTATTGGCCTCACTTTTTAAATAAAGACATGACTATGTGTCAATAAACATCACTGCACTATAAAAAAAGACTGGTATAAAACAGTGTGGAAGTTGATTATCTCTGGGTAGTACGTTCTCTGGAGTTTCATTTTCTTCTGAACACCACTACATTTTCCCAAATTCTGTAAAGTGAGTTTTGAAAGTGCGACATACACACAAGAATATCCAAAGCAGAAAGTGGAAGGAAGAGTGGAAATTTAAAAATAAAGCTGCCATCTGTCCTACTACTTTGAGTTAGCTTTAGTTACAAAACTTTATTCATTTTAAAATTCTGAATGACACTAAAGGAGAGTTTATTTTATCTACCACATGGAAGTATAGATTTTTAAGATACTGAAGCATTGCTCCAGATGTATACTTTTAATTAAAAATTTTAAATTGTTCTTTAAAATATTAAGAGTACTAGTTTATGTGCATAAATAAATGTAGTTAGTAAAAATACCATTTAAATACAGCACTATTCAAAATTTTTATTATCATATAAGGCATAAATATCCCTTAATATTTTACTCTTTTACAGGCCACAAAAAATACAAATACAATTACATTTACTTAACTGTTTTTTCTATTCTTAAAACATTTTGCTCTGTTGAAAGGAAAACAAAACATATTTTTACTTATATTGATGACACTTTCAATGACTTCCAATTAAGGAAAGTTTTTTACAAGATATACAAAGGGTGAAAGGTCAACAAACATATCTAAGAAATGTCACATTCAGTCTACCGCCACACCACCTGGAACCCACTCAATCTCGTCTGAATCACAGAAGCCAAGCAGGGTCAAGCCTGGTTACTCCCTGGATGGTTACAAATGTCAAATTCAATTATTATGTTAAAACCTAAAATCACAAGGAACAAAGAATGTAAAAGAGATTACATCAAGAATATTCCTATCACTAGTCATGGAAACCCACATAACTACTGACATTTTAGTCAGAATACACAGGCTATTTTATTAAAAGGATCATTTGAAAATTGGATGGAAGATTTCAAAACTCTTTCAAAGTGTTTATAACTCTTCCAGATATTACACTACCCAATCTTTCTATTATTGCATTAAGTAAATGACTAAAGCTTTTATCTCACCCAAGTGGTATAATGCCAGGGTATACTATCTCCCATTTCCTGGATACATAATGACAACTGGCAACAACCTCTTCAACTCTTAAGAGCTTTAATTTTTAGAATGGTCCCTTTAAAAAGCGTTATCATATTCATGTTTTAACAACTTAAGGAAATTATCTCAAGAGGATGATACAGACTCTCAGTTGTTTTTTTATCTTTATAACAAAATGACTGAGACCACTAAGATTTTGTAACTTGTCACATGTTGCTCCTCAACCTATAATGTAAGGGTTTTATAAAGTTAGAAAATAGGGCTGGAGAGATGGCTCAACGATTAAGAGCACTGCCTGCTTTTGCGGAGGACCCAGGTTCGATTCCCAGCACCCAAATGGCAGGTTCAAACTGTCCTTAACTCCAGTTCCAGGGGAATCCGAAGCCCTCTTCTGACTTCTGCAGCACTGTACAACATGGGTGCACTCACATACATGCAGGCAATACATTTATACACACAAAATAAAAAATAAATATTTAAAATATGTTAGAAAATAATTTTTATATAAAAACTTGTTATTATCAGAAGTTTCCATTTTTCAATGCTAATATTACATTTATATAATTATCCTCCACAGATATAATTCCTGAGTATAATGCTTGACTCTAGACCAAATGCCAGACAAACAACCTTTAGTTTTTTACAATTAAAGTACCAAATACAAAAGCCTTCAATGAGGCTATACTTTAGATTTCTCCTGCCAAAACATTATGGCATTTCATAAAAACTATCTCAGGAGAAAAGCAGCAGAGAAAGTCAATCAGCAAAAAGCTGGTCCTTTGAAAATGCCAATAAAATTGACAAGCCTGCACCAAGAATGGGCATCAGAGCAGGACTTTCCTTCTGTGAGGGAAACAGGTACAGGAGCAACAAAAATAGTACCCAATGCCTAGCAGGTGTTCAGTGAACACAACAATGGAAAGCTGAATCCTTTGTGGTTCACCAGGTAAGATTCTAGACAAAGAATAAGGGTAACGAGGTAGATTATTATTAGCAGAAAATGAAATTGAGGGTATCACCACAGACCTTACAACAGCAAAAAGGCAATAAAAGAATTTGACAAACAACTCATTTGACAACCTAGAAGAGATGGACCAGCTAGTAAAAAGCATAAGCTACTACAACCCACTCAACATGAAACGTATCACCTTAACAGTCCTGAAACTACTAAAGAAACTAAATTTCTAGTTTAAAGATGGTCGACAAAAGAAAATCGCTAAGTATAGACGGTTTCACGGGAAAATTCCAGCACACATTTCAAAGTTAACACCAGTTCTACATAAGGACTTTCAGAAGACAAAAGGAAGGAAGCTGTCCTATGTTGTACCAGGTCAGTACCATGGATCCAAAAGTAGATACAATACGGAGGAAGTTAAGTATAGACATAAATGTAAATAAAGATACATATAAATGTAAAAACATTTTCTTTTTCTTTTTTGCGGAGTTAGGATCAAACCCAGAGCCACCACTGACCTACAGTCCCAACATAAAATGAAAAGAAAATTTTTTTTCCATTTGCTTTCTTTGCTTTCTAAGATAGGATTTGGATTTGTATAGTCCAAATGGCCTGGAACTCACTGCTAGCCAAGGCTGGCCTCAAATTTGCAAGCCTTAGCTTCCTGTGCACTGGAATAGCATGGATGTACCACTAAGCATCACCACTATGCTCAGCCTAAAATGAAAAATTCTTTAACAAAATATTAACAATTACATATAAGCAGCACGAGAGGTTTATTCTATAAACAAAAATATTTCAACACCTAAAAAATAAACCAATGGAGCATGCCATATTAACATGCTAAATAAAGAAGGAAACCCAGGAGACTGGAGAGATGGCTCAGCAGTTAGGAACACTGCTCTTAAAGAGGACCCAGGTTAACTTCCCACCACCTACATACAACCTACAGGCTGACTACGATCTGTTAACTCCAGTTTCAGGGGATATGACTCCTTTTTCTGGGCTCCCTGGGCACTGCATATACATGGTACACTTACATATGTGCAGGCAAAACATTCACACACATAAAATAAATAAAATTTTTTTAAAAAGAAAACATGATTTGATGGACTTATTGGTGCAAAGATAATATCTATAGTTGAAGTCAATTTGGATAAAATCAACAATAGCCATTACATTTTAGGCTTGTCTATACATGGATAGCTATTTTACCAACCAAAGTTTAATGTATTACAAATTTTGCATAATAAATATCTGAATTTCAAAAACTACAGATAAAAATTTTAAGTTAGTATTTTTTGTTCTTGCAATTAAATTTCTCCCCTACAGTTAAGATGCCTGCTACATGTTCTCATTTGGGAAGGAAAATTCTCTTACCATAATTAAACTGACTGTTGGACTTCTCACAGTTAATGATGTTAAACCTATAAGCAACACCTGGCCTCATTCCACTGACTTCAAAGTAAAACCACTGATGATAATGGTTGCTGTTTATATCTGAATTCAGAATAAGATCGTATTCATTTCTAAAACAGAAGATAAAGACAACTGATGAAAATTAGGAAACTATCTGTGCACATTCAAAATAAGAACATTTAAATTGGCTTACTTTCTAATTTGAATTACTTTGCGCAGATTTCCGGATTCAAATTTTGAGTTAAACTTCAAAATATCTCCTTCTTCTGGAGTAGTGTAACTAAATAAATATTTTAGAACAAGTACATTAAAATACATCACATTTCAACAGATAATCAAGAAAAAGTATAGATAAAAATATACTCTCATTATTTTTAAAACAAAGAATACAGCAAAAACGGCAAAGTAAAAAATTTTCTTGTAATTATACACAAAGTATGATTATGAGACTGTCTCTATTTTTACACTAATAATAAAGCCTTTGCCTTGTCAAGTGGTATTTCTAAAATACTGGTTTCACATAGGAAAAAGGGAGATTTATTTCTAAACCTGCATATGATCAGTAATAAGAAGTAATAATTTCAATAAACCATGAAGTTCATGGGTCAAAGTATTCTTTTCAGTTTAGAAGCCACATTGTTTTGCACTTAGCCAACACAGAAGGTTTAGGGTGTTTTCTCTAGTGCTCACTGAGCATTTAAGTGCTGGCACTGCTTTTAGACTGCTTGGTTTCCTGAAAGACTCAAAATTCTTGCTCTTCTAAAGATAAAATTCTAGTAGAAGAATTAATAAAATATCAAGGAGCACAATGATTTTGTCAAAAATCTTTTCAGTTAGAAATAATCTGGGGATCTGGAGAGATGGCTCAGCAGTTAAAAGCACTGGCTGCTCTTTCAGAAGACCTGGGTTCAGTTCTCAGCACTCAAATGGTGGCTACCAACTGTCCATAACTCCAGTTCCAGGGAATCTGACACTCTTCTGACCTCTACAGGTACTGCACATCACTGGTGCACATACATGCATGCAGGCAAACACTCATATACATAAAATAAAAATAAATATTTTTTTAAAAAGAAAAGAAATAATCTGGGCATGCCCACCCTCAAGAGATTCTCAAGCTTCTCTCTTTCCACATCTGACGTGGAAGTATAAACACACAATAACTACAAAATGTTTAATAAAGTAGATGCTTTTTTTCCCCCTTGTATAAGACTTTAACATCGGGGCTGGAGAGATGGCTCAGCGGTTAAGAACACTGACTGTTCTTACAAAAGGTGCCGGTTCAAATCCTAGCACCCACAGGGCAGCTAACAACTGTCTCCAGTTCCAGGGAATCCAATGGCCTCTTCTGTCCTCCACGGGCATTGGATGACATTAGGTGTACTTACCTACATGCCAGCATAACACTCATACATATAAAATAAAAATAATAAATAAAACATTTTTAAAAAAAGAGTATCTTAAAGTCAGGAATGGTGGTGCATGTCTATAATCCCAACACATGGGAAACTAAGTCAGGACTATCATATGAAGGCCAGCCTGGGCTACATGTGAGTTCTAGACCAGCATAAGCTACAGTGTAAGACCCTGTCAAAAACAATAACAAAGAGTATTTTTAATTCAGTCATTATCTTAGCCATAGCTTTTACTCATCTCTCTACCTCCCAACAAAAAAAAATATTGACTGTTTATTGCCTCCAAGCATGATAGGCAAAATGTGAAACTTCCTAAAAGTATTAAAATGAAAAGAGATACACAGAGGGCTAACTGAAGTTGTCATTTGATTATTTGTAATTTTTACTTATTCACTATAGTTAAATCCTTAAATGTCTTATCAATGGTAATCTGAAAGTAGTAAATGATCCACCAAAAGCCACAAGTAAATTATGTTCTAGGCCAGGCAGGAAGCTTCAAGTGAATGAAGTGGTAAATCAGTAAGACACAAGAGGAAGAAGAGACCTGTAGTGAAATAGCAAGCACATGCTCCTGAAGGTGCTGGGAAATTTTGTCCGAAAAAATAAAGGCTCAGTACTACAGGACAAGACAGTATTTTTTTTTTTTTTTTTTTTTTTTGGGAATTTCCAATTCTTTTAAGTGGAGGTGTTTTTATTTTTCCAAAAAACACAGGATTAGCTTACAATTTTTAAATTTCACATAAAAGCAAATAAAAGCTATTTTTCAATTTAAGTAAATAAACATGATTTACCATAGCCATCACAACCTGCTGAAGGGTGAAAACAGCAATGACAAAGGGAGGTGGAAATTAACTATCATTATTTACCTTTTAGAAGTAACATGAAGGTTTTATTTTAAAAAGTAAAACATAAAAGGCTTTAAAGAAAGATCAGACTTACTTTGGGTTATCTAAGTCATATACCACTCGATCTATGATATCACTCTGATGTATCAGTCTCTCAATATCTTGGGCAATTTTTGTCCTGAAATCAAGAAATACAAATTTGAGTAAATTCATTACTAAATGCCAATGATGCCAGTGTGCAGCCTTCTCTAAAATAAGCTTGGAATGAAAGGTATAAAATAATAACTATGTAAACTAACCATTTCTTATACTGCATATAAAAAAGAACATAAAACAAGCAAAACAGAAAAGCATTTATTGGAACTTGAGTTTTGAAAAATAATCACAATAAACCTCAAAAAAAAAGCAGAAGGAGAGGGAAGGAGGGTGGCCTCTAAGGTCCAGTAGGCCTTTCTACATAGAAATGGTATACTAATCCTTAAGCACTCTGTATATATAATAGCAGCATTACTGGAGAAAGAGATGATATACAGTAAGATTTTAAAACCCATTTATCTAGGAATATGGGGGAAAAAAAGCCAACTGGGTGGTGTGCAAGTGTGTTCCTCCTCCTGCATACTGGGTGGGGTAAGGCAGATGGGAGGAAACACTAGGTGATACTAATGCATAACTGGAATAGGCGATTTGAACGCTCAGGCCAGATGCCACAAAGTTCTGACAGTGTTGATACATAGTTATCTCCACTTGTTCTTTTAAAAAGATTTTTATTTGGGAAGATTGGGAGGGGCTGGAGAGATGGCTCAGCGGTCAAGAACACTGGCAGTTTTTACAGAAAATTAAGGTTCCAATCCCAGCACACACATGGCACCTAGTTAGCAACCTTCCATAACTCCAACTCCACGGAATCTAACACCCTCTTCTGGCCTTTGCCTGCACTGCATGACACAGGTTCACTTACATACATAACACTCATACACATAAAAAGAGTAATAAGCTCTCTTCGACCAGCAGGCTTCTCTCTCTGACCAGCAGGCTTCTCTCTCCAGGGTAAGTCAATTGGGCCCTCCGTGCCTTGACTCCCCCAGCCTCACTCACCCTCCCATCTCCGCTGGTCTCTCCACCTAGACTGGGTGCTGTCCCATTCCTTGTCTTACACCCCAGACACCTGGTGAACCACCACTGCTTTTTCCTAATCCTTTGCATCCAGAGCAACTCACTTCCTTCCCAGGTCCCCAGGAGCATTGCTTCAGGGCTTGGCCCCGCCCTCACCTCCTTCTGCTTCCCTGGGCCTCTTGGACCCACAGACCTCTCTGCAAATCACAGGCCACTCTCTCCAGGGTAAGTCAATCTTGCCCTCCCTGCATTGATTCTCCCAGCCTCACTCACCCTCCCATCTCCCCTGCCAGTCTCTCCTCCTAGCCTGGGTCCTGTCCCATTCCTTGTCTTGGCAGGCCAAACATCTTGAAAACCGCCATTGCTTCCAGATCCTGTGTAACCAGACCAACACCTTTCCTTCTCCGGTAACCAGGGGCGCTTTGGGCCTGGCCCCATCCTCACCTTCCTCTGCCTCCCTGGGTCTGAACAACCCACCAGCCTTTTTCCTAGACACCTGGGCTGACTTTTCCTCTTCCTGGTCCTTTGCATCCAGACCAACCCAGGTCCTCAGTGCAGTCCCCAGGGGCCCTTCTGGGCCACCTCCCGCACACATGTAGAGATGCATCTCTGGGTGGAACAGCCACCTGCTACCCTAGACCAGCATCTTTCTTGGGCCTGGCTCCCAGGTAAGTCCAACCCCCAAATTCCAGAGGCCAAAATCAATCCTAGAGGGTCCAGACCTCAGGAGAAAGCCTGAGAGCATCTGATCCTCATCTGAAATGGGCCTCTGTGGGAACTCCTAAAAACAAAAGCAATCTGGCCACTCCAATATAAAATTGAAAGAGAGAACTGGAAGCTTAAAGAAACCAGGCTTTCATGCTGAAAAAGTAAACCACAAAGACACATAAAGTTCACAAAAAAAGCAGACCTAAACTTGAAGGCTTGAGGCTCACACAAGAATCAGAAACTGCAAAAGAAATTCACATGTCAACATCACAGAAAAAAATTATAACATGAAAAACCAAAATAACATATCCCCACCAAATACCAATAGTCCTCTGGAGGAGTACAATGAGAACCCCCTAGAGATAATGCAGGACATGGAACTCAAAAGAATAATTATAAACATGATAAAAGAATTGAATGAACTTAACACAAAAAGAAATCAAAGAACTGAAGGAAGATAGGGATAAACTTCTGAATGAATTCAGAAACAAATTAGAAATACTGAAGAATACTAAGGCTGAAATGAAGAAGGAAGTAAAACACTCAGTAAGCCAATTATAAACGACAGGAGAAAGCCTCACCAATAGGATGAATGAAATGGAAAACAGAGTATCAAGACTGGAAGATAAAGTGGATGAACTAGACCACTCAAGCAAAGATTATGAAAAATTTAAGAAATCACAAGAATGGAATATGCAGGAATTGTGTGACACCATAAAAATACCAAACTTACGAATCATAGGCATACAAGAAGTGTTGGACCCCCAGACTGGGGTACCCAACGTTCACGGGAGGTCGTACCCCAATAACTCAGTCCTCAAATCAGGAGATGCAACAAGTATAAGGATTTATTGGCGTTTTGCAAAATGGACTCCCACCTCACTTGGAGGACAGAAGTCCAGAGCCCACCCAGTTCACAGGTTTCTTTTAAAGACAAGCGGCGGCTATGTGCCAAGCAGAAAAGCGGCGGCTATGTGCCAAGCAGAGGTAGGGGGAATTTCTGGGATGATTTCCAGCTTGGGCAGAGGAGCATGAAAAAGGTCAGCTCAGCTTGTTCTTAGTATTCAGAATTATTTTTCATTTTTACTTCCTTGTACAGTTTTTCTCAGGCCTGGGGGATTTTAGTTTAAATTCATTATTCTGGGGGCTTTGGATCCATCATTTCCCCCCTTTTCTTATAGTAAGATTTTAATCCTAAAATCTATAGATCTTCTGTTCTTCTGGAAGTATGGTATTGCTGAGTAAGAACCAGAGCCTGAGTTACTGACAATCGGTCTCTGATAAATTGTAGCAGCCTATTGAGGATGCATGGTACGTTGTGTCTTCTCACGTACACCTGATCTCCAATTTGGTAGGAGTGAGACGTTTGTGGACTCCCAGGCCGGTAGACAGCAGCCAGAGGCTTCTAAACCTGGTTCTGGATAATCTGAAGGGCTTGAAGTCTTGTTTTTAGGCTGGGATTGTCAAAAGAAGAGGGCAAGGGGGATAAAGTTACATTGAGGACAGGAGGTGGTCCTCCAAAAAGGATTTTATAGGGGGTTAAGCCATGTATAGCAGGAGTATTTCTAGCCCGAAATAGAGCTAGAGGTAGGAGCTGCACCCAGTCTTTAGTGCCAGTCTCTAGAGCTAATTTAGTTAAGGTCTCTTTAATGGTTCTATTCATCCTTTCTATTTTAATAGTAAAAAGGAGGCCATCATCTACCTGTTCTTTATATAGTCTAATTCTCCAAGAATACCCCCTGTCCCAATCTGCAGCCTTTTTTCCTGCTGCTGTAAATTCTACCCGGAGGGGGTTGCACCATTTACCTTGACAGGCCTGTTTATGAGTCATTTTTTACTCTTTTAAATTTTCCCTGTAGACGACTGTTCCCATGAGTATAATTTGCTTTTACAGTGATATAATCCCATGATGAGGACGGGGACCACCAGTTGTCCCCGGCTGTTTTACATCCCCAGTTTTTGCAGTAAAAGTAGGCCCTCCCTCTACATTGGGGGATGAGCCATTTAGCCCGGTGGTCACCTGGGCAAACATAGAAAGTCAGGGTACACAACATGTCACGGTGCTCATGAGGGCCACATCCCCCCCACGGGTCAAGTCCCAGTCTTCTGGGGGGACTTTTTTTATCTGGTGCCACCTCAGTATTCCAGTTTCCCTCTAAGTCCCAGGGTTCTGGTGCTCCTAAAGCTAATTTACATAAATCTGGATACAGTATAGGCCACCAAGTTCCCTTGGGGGCCATTTTGTGGGTTTCAAACACGACAATCTCCATTTGATTAATTACCCGCCAGGTAGTCAGCATAGGGAGATGGGGGCTTCCTTGACTGGGGACAAGCCTACAAACAAGAAGAATTATTAAGTATCTCTGGAGAGTCTTATTTTTAGAGGATTGGATGTCTTGTGGAGATGCCATTTTTCCACGTCGTCCTGGGCCGGAGCTCTCTTGGCGTGAGAAATGTGGATCTAAGCCGAGATCCCATCTACTTTAAGGGCTGTGGGTGTAGTCAGAAGAACTGTGTAGGGTCCTTTCCACCGTGGTTCAAGAGTCTTCACGTTGTGTCTTCTCA